CCTCAGGACTATACACAGGCTTCAGAAAGCATCACTGGGGTAATCCTGGCATTTATTATGGAGATGGGACTATTTCTAGAAGAAGATCCTAAACCAAGGGTAATCGCAGCTCTGCAGTAGAGGAATCTTTGAAATTACCTGCGAACCATCTTTCAGCAAGCACAACCAAACTTTTTGTTTCTCTCAATTCCAGAAATGCTTGATCTTTAGTTCCAGAAAGTTAACATTTCATTGGCAATAAGCTCTACGTTTCTTTCTTTCTTCTTTTTTTTTTAAAAAAAATATATCTTTATTGATTTCAGAGAGAGGAAGGGAGAGGGAGAGAGAGAGAGAAACATCAGTGATGAGAGAGTCATTGATCGGCTGCCTCCAGCATGCCCCCGACCAGGGACTTAGCCCGCAACCCGGGCATGTGCCCTGACCAGGAATCGAACCACCGTCTCCTGGATCCTAGGTTGATGCTTAACTGCTGAGCCACGCCCAGCCGGGCAAGGCTCTAAGTTTCTTAACCTTTCAGCCTCTTCAAAGAGTTAATGATGCAAAAAGAAATGCATAAATGCACTAAGGGGATCCCCAGGATTTGAATAATTTGAAATAGGAAAGACTTTTTTAGTAATCAGAATATTTTTAGGCTCTTCTATAATATGCAACCGTGGGGTACGGGGTGGGGAGAAAGGCCATGTTTCTGCTTGGCAGGTAATATATAAGCTTGCTTTACCTGATAGTCACAAATTCCTAAGCCCTCTGTTTAAAAGTGAGCAGCCTTAGGCGGGTGCCCTTCATTGGCCCCTCGTGGTTGGGAAGCAACGAAGAGAGGGCGTAGAACTCTTTCTGCTTTCAGTAGCTGTACTTACAGAGACTACTCCATATCCCATTAAATTTTTTTTTAAAAAAGCTTTCTATAAGGGTCAGTGAAATTTACATTTCATTCCTTACCTAAACTATCTTTAATCTCATTCTCTCTTTTCAGAGCTCGGTGCTCCCTTCCTCCTCCCGCCCCCACCCTCCTCACAGGTGTCACCATTGGCCTTGCAAATGGCAGGGCTTCCCTTTTCATCTGCCCATTGGTTCAGTAGATTGTGTCTGCAAATTTGAGAGCAGCCTGTTTTCTTTTTTCCAGCACCTAAACAATAATGTAACCACATCACGGCACTTTTAGTCACATCATTGACCTCCACTGGCAGTTTATCCCCTACAACACTTGAATGCACTGATACCACTGTCTGCAGCATTTCAATTTAATTAGACCAGTGGTTATAATCCTCTTGGGAAAATTGTTATCCCCTCTGTAATGTCAAAGTGAAACACCTTTGGTTCTCATTGGACTGACAGTTTGTTCTAGAGGTGAATGAGCTGTAAGCCGGCACTTTTCTTTGTTGGGGTCGGACCAGAGAAGCAATTGTGGGAATAAGGAGGTTTCATTTTTTTGGGAAATTGGGTGTTAGTCTCCTTAACCCTCTCTGTCTAGATATCTGCATCTGAGATAGTGCAATGTCATTTTTCTCATTGATGACAGTGTGCTGAATGTTAAGTGCATGGCTATAGTAATAGATTGAAAAATCAGGACCACGTGAGTCACCCCAGAAATTAACAAAAAGAAAGTCAAAGGATTCCAGATGTATGTTTTGTTCTTTTTGGAAAGGACCCCAGGCCCTGTGCTACATCCTTTCTGGGGTCCCCTGTACTCTGTTGGCCACTGAGCCCAGGGTAACAGTAGGTGTATAATGACTTAGCAAATCACTGGAGGCCCTAGAGGTGCATTTTGCTTTCCCCTGACTGGCCTCTCAGAGNAACAGTAGGTGTATAATGACTTAGCAAATCACTGGAGGCCCTAGAGGTGCATTTTGCTTTCCCCTGACTGGTCTCTCAGAGCATGGACCTTTTAAAAACAGTTTCCGGCCTCCCAAGTTTATGGTGTCAAAATATTGCTGAGTGGAAACCATCATCAGGAATGAGAAGAATTCAGGGTCCACCATCACTCAGTCTCTGGCCTTCTTTTTATAGGTTTCATCATAAAACAGCACAGTTGTTTCCATCCAGAGTTGTTTGGATGTATGGAAGAAGGTGGTATAAAATGCCAGGGTGAGCACTGAAGTGTGGCATGCAGTGTAGCAGTGAGGACGGGGCCACACCGAAGTTCAGTCCCTGGGGCTGCTCCAGAGAGAGCACAGTGAGATGAAGGCACAGCACAGTGATGATTTAGCAAGTCAGGACATAACATGTTTTAAAGGTGGTACCTAGATTGACTCTCATAAGTAGGCCAAAGGTAGGTTATTCACAAAATAAAGTAAAATCCTCTTGGAGGACTGGGTTTCTCCCATCCTGTCCTTGGTAGAGTTTATGAGGGATGAGGGAGTTGGGATGAGGTGGCCTCTCACTCATATAGATAGGATCTCGGGAGTTTCTCCGTGCTTTGAAGAGAAAATCATCGTATTACAAAATGCCATTTTCTTTTTTTCTCCCACTCATGCCAAGCCATTTAAAAACTCTTTGGCCATGCTGTGTTTTCTTCATCAACAGTTTCACTTCTGCAAAAACACCCTAACAAAACAGAAAGCTATTTCTGGGAATGGAGTTAACGGTAGATAAGATATCTAGATATACACTGGGACTGAAGGGTGATTCGAGGGTTGAAGTGTATGGAGAATTTGTTACAGACTATGTTTACAATTACCCTGAAAAACCCCCTCATCAGATTTTGTATATTTCCCACATATGTTCATGTCTTTGCCTCTTTCACCCCCAAAACCCCAAACCAAACACCAAAAATATAACTCACTTTTACGTTAGAGTTGCTCAAAATATGTGTAATGTTTGATCAAGTTAGAGAAAAGTGAAGTTGAAGGTTTCAGATGCCTCTGGGTGACCTTTCATAGAGCATCTTGATTGACACAGAAATGAAATTTAGCATTTATGTGACTGCCCTTAATTAACAAATTCTCCAGGAAACTTTAGGATGTGTGTTTAAATAGAAATATTCCAAATGCCCTATTTGCTGATAGAAGATACCCCAGAGAAGGTTTAGCGATTCCATTCGGAAATTACAAAAATATGTATATATTCATTTAAAATTGAAACTTCCTACCACAACCACCAAACTTTCCAGGGTATGAAGGGAAGAAAAGCTTTACTTTGGTTAGAGGGCGGGGGGACGGACGACACACACGACACGACACGACACGACACGACACGACACGACACTCCCCTGCTTCCCTTTGCATATTTGATGAAATCTAAAATGTTAGAGAACTATCTTTCTGAAACATAAACACCCCCTTTGCTTTATTTTAGTCTGTGATTTTTCTTTTGCTCCTGATTTCTGTTTTCATAATGGCATTTGACTGATCTTTTTCCCCCAAGCTATTTTTAGACTTGGTGTGTCCCACTTTGCTTTGCCCAGTTAAACCACAGAAACTAACGGAAGTTAGGTTTTAGTATGTATGGCCTGCAAATCAAACTAGTGGGTATGTCGATCTAAGATGCAAATTGTACTGCTCTTCTGGCCTATTGCTATAGCTGGTTTCTTGCCATTATTTGCCATATTTTAACTTCAAACGAATAATAATCCTTTCCATCCCACCCAGTAGTTTTAATTGATCCAACAAATGCTGCCTGTTTAAATTTAAACAGTGAATCTGCTGAAGCCCCCTCCCCTTTCCTTGTCTGTTGAGTGTTTTCAGTTAAATAGTACTTTTCTTAAATGCAGATGATTCTTTGAATCTCTGAAACAGTTCAGAAGAAAAGGAAATATTCTGAGCCAGGAAATGAAGGTACAAGGAGATACCCGTTAATGTTACAGATAACTCCTTGCTAGGAAGAAAAAAAAAATTAAACATTGGATATAGATTTTGGGTCGTGGTTGTATAATGAGATTGGTAGATGATAGAAAAATCTTGCTTGTAGATTTATTAACTAAATCTGGAATTTATAATCCATCACTTTGCGCTCCCCTCTCATTGGGTCTGAGTACAGGATCATACTTGGTAGACTGAGGATATTGCCGGAGGAGAGGAAACGTGGTTTTAATGTATTGGTGACATTAATTATGACTTGAAAAAGTCATTTTTGAGAGTAGTCTTTAAAGCCGTTTTCTAGGACATACTTTTTCATTTCCTCCGCCTTGTCTCGCCTCTTTACTTGAACAAAACCACTAGTACACAGAGAGGGGAAAAAATGGACACCTATTGATCTGAGTCCAAAGGAAAAGCCCTCTTTTAAACCTTTCCAGAGTTTTGTTATAAATCCTAAAACCTGGAAATCTGGAATGTAACCGAATAGTGTCTAGAGGGGGCAGGCGGGATTGCTTGGCCGGTGCTCATATGCCGCCCCCCCCCTTTTGCTCCCACC